TGAAACGGAGTTGTTTATTTTCACAGACCTTGGAACTCGTCACGTGGATATTTTCACCATTACAAATTTTGTGGAAGTGATATTCAAAATGCCTGGAAATTGTCATTTTAAGGATGCTTGGTTAGAACACCCGGATTACCGTGGCTGGATTTTGAAAGAAAGTTCCGATCTGGGGACTGCTAGATGTGCTGTTTGTATGTGTAAATTCAGTGTCCGTAATATGGGCGAAGCAGCCGTCAAGAGCCACAAGAAGAGTGAAAAACACACAGCAAACCTCCAACAGCAACAACGTCGTAAGTGAGCATTTTTAATGTGAATTTTACCGATCCTTTATTGAGCATGAATCCAAATAATGACTGATAATAATTATATAAAAATGAAAGATTTGAGATTATTTAGCGATGCGATGTCACCTCGCAGGCATTGGTTACTGCTTACTGCGACCAGCCCGTTCGGGAGCGTCCCCGGCCCCGGGCCGGGCCGGCTAGGTTACTGCATGCAACAGCCCGAACGCTAACCCAGGGGGCTCCGCACTCACACGCCAGTGTTGTACCGGGCACTGTATGTGGACTGCAGAAAAAAAAAATAATAATAATTTACCTTAAAATTGACCCCAAAAATCATAAAACTAAATTTTGTACTTACAATTGGGTCCAACAGTTTGCTTGCCTTGAGAAGTATTTCCTCCTTTCTATTTCTTTAAAATATGTTTTTAAGGAATGAGTCAAAAATTAGTCCACTTGTCTTAGTGACTTACATCAATTGGCCAAAAGTTGCCGTGAATTTTTTTTTTTTTTCCTTCCCCATACTGTCAAACGGTTGTCAAAATAGGAAAACGTTTATGCTTTTAATGGTCGTTTGAACGGCAGTTAAACGTTTTGACTCGGCCCTAAATCTTACCAAATGATGATATTTATATTTTATTTATTTTAATAGACATTTTTTTCTTTTCTCCTAGATTCTACTCTCTCACTCAAGAGCTTCTTCAAGGCAAAAGGTGCAGAAAGTTCATCAGTATCTATCACGTCTACAGATGCAACAACCAGTACTTGTGCGCCATCAACCTCTAAAGTGACAACTCCCATTCCTGTTGCTGCAAGAGAGGAAACTTTAAAAGCTGAAATACTCTGGTGTCTGAAAGTGGTGGAGGATCATTTATCATTTCATTCTTGCCAGCACAACAGTGAGCTCTTTCAAAGAATGTTTCCGGACTCAGCTATTGCTAAGGGTTTCACGTTGTCAGAAACAAAATGTCGGTATATGACGGTGTTTGGTTTGGGCCCATATGTGCAAGACCTCCTTTATGACAACATAAAACAATCAAACCACTATGTGATACTGTTTGATGAAAGCCTCAACAAGAAGCTCCAGAAAAAGCAGATGGACTTCCTCATAAGAACATGGCAACACAATGAAGTTTGCACTCGCTACTTGACGTCTGTGTTCATCGGACATGGTTCAGCTGTTCACCTCAAGGAAGAACTGAATAAAGTTCTGCACACAGTTGGCTTGGAAAAATTACTGCAAATATCAATGGATGGTCCCAACGTTAATTGGAAGATGTATGATGACTTTACGCGAGAGTACACTGCTGACCTGACCAAATCCATACTGAATATAGGCTCATGCGGGCTCCATATAGTTAATGGTGCTTTTCTGACAGGTGCCAAGGCTGCTGACTGGGAGGTGGAAAGCTTTCTATCATCCTTGTATTACCTGTTTTCTGATTCCCCTGCCAGAAGAGAGGATTATCAGAAGATAACTGGAGATCATACCATGCCACTTAAGTTTTGCAAGACCCGATGGCTGGAAAACCTTCCTGTTGCAGAGAGAGCAATCAGCATCTGGGAGAGTGTATGTGCGTATGTTAAAGCAGTAGAAGAGAAGAAAATCCCTCACCCAAAGAACAAGTCCTTTGAAACTGTTTCAAAATGTACTCATATAACTGATTTCTTAGCAAGACTGTACTTCTTCATATCTGTTGCAAAGCTGGTCAATCCTTTCCTAACAGACTATCAGACTGATGCACCAATGCTGCCCTTTTTAGCTGAAGACCTTACTAGAATGCTTGCATCCCTTATGCAGCGATTTTTAAAGCTGGACAGGAGTACCATTACTTCTCCTTACAAGATAATGCAGGTAGATGTTAGCAGTGAGGCCATTCAGCTGCCCTTGGCCAAGTTGGACATTGGATTCTACACTGAGAAGAAGCTGAAAGATCTGAAGGCGAAAAATATCATCAGTGAGCTGAAAGTTCTGGAATTTCGCACTCAAGCAAAGAAGTTTCTTGCTGCAATGACCCGGAAGCTCATTGAGCGATGTCCGCTTAAGTATGCACTTGTGAGAAATATAGGATGCTTGAGTCCAAAGAACATGGCAAAAGACAAAGAAAACTCCACTGCAAAGCTGAAGAGGGTGCTTAACACCCTTAGTGATGCCCACAGACTTAAGGATTCATGTGACGATATCCTAAGAGAATACTCAGAAGCATGTGATGAGGCATCAAGAAGTGCAGAGATGAGAGACTTTGATCCAAAGAAAGAGAGATTGGACTCTGTAATGTGCAAATTTCTGTCCGAGTCTCGCTATTCGACCCTCTTAAAGTTGGTCCGCATGTTGCTTGTCTTGTCCCATGGACAAGCCTCCATTGAGAGAGGTTTCTCAATCAACAACGAAGTTGAAGAGGACAATCTCCTGGGACACTCACTGATATCATTGAGGGCCATTTATGACCATATCAAGTACATGTATGTTGGAGGAATCAAGAATGTGACTATTGACAAATCAATCATGTTGGCTGCGTCTGCAGGCAGGCAGAAATACCACATCTATCTCGATGAACAGAGGCGTAAAAAGGAAAAGGAAAAGAAAGAAGGAAAGAGAAAAGGACTGATGGATGGTTTGGAAGAACTAAAGGCCAAACAAATGAGACTGCAAGCAGATGTGAAAAGTCTTCACACCTCAGCAGACAAGTATGCTGAGGAAGCAGAGTCACAAGGAAGATTGACTTGTATTTCCAAATCAAACAGCCTCCGACGTACAGCAAAGGAGAAGGCATCCCAGTTACAAGTAATTCAGAAACAGATTGATGAACAGCTGAATGCCATTAAGAATTATTAAAGAACTTGGACAGTTTGTTACCAATGCCACCAAATATTCAGACAGGTGCAATGTGTAGAGGGATTTCTTTCAAACAGCTACATGAAGATGTCTCAAGAAAAAACTCATTCAGAAATTATTGACCAGCTTAATGCTAGCGAAACAAGAATTCATCAGCTGATGTGAGTAGGCCTACTGTGTTTTGTTGGTGAAATCAAAATTGGTGATGGTATGTGTGTGAGTTTGTGTGTTGGTGTTGTTTTGTTTTCTTTTTTTTTTGGGGGGGGGGGGTAGTTACCTTGTACATGCAAAGGAGAGCTATTGAAGGAATCATGGTGGTCCATGAAACCAGGAACAGGCAATTTGTATTCTTTAGAAGTGAAAATTGCCATTAAAAAATGGACAATTGTTGATATGAATACATGTATGTGTAATTGTAAGAATATTATATAGCAGTGCATATCGAATATGATGAAAAAATAACATGTAATTGTAACAGATGAAATAACTAGATAACAAAAGCTGCCTTTCTATTAGTAGACTTGAAACATGCACTTTGCTTCGCTTTGATTTGAGATCAAATTTTCAGTCTACCGTGTAAAAAAAATGTGTAAAAGTCATGGAAAGGTCATGGAATTCTGGCTAGAAAAGTCATGGAAAGTCATGGAATTAAATTTATGAGAAAGAGTATGAACCCTGTAATAATAATAATAACCTAGACTTATATAGCGCATTTCATAATCGAAGAAAATAGCAATGCGCTTTACAATATTAATACAACAAAATTACACATAACTACTAATTCATGAACTAAAGAAATATCAAAATAAGGAAAAGATTAATAATAATCAAACATTATAAACATCCATTACAGAGAAATGAAGGCAATTATATCAGAGTACAGTAATGTAATTAAATTTTGATGAATACAATTAATACAGTTTAAATGATATTAAAGTAACACAACGCAAGAGTAGTTGACCTCAGCGTGGAGGAATTGGCACCCCAAGATGAGTTTGCCAGTTTCCGTAGTAGGTTGTTCCTTGTCCCAACTTTACCCTTCACCTTTTGAACATGCTGTTTGTATGAAAGGGTTCGGTGAAGAGTGATTCCAAGGTAGACAGGGTGATCGCAGTGTTTCAATGAGACATCGTTCCACTTCAGGGACAGCTTCCTCCCAGCATTGTAGTTGCGGAGATGGAACAAGCTAACCTGGGTCTTGGCAGGGTTAGCCTTCAGATGGTTGTTGTTGTAGTAGTCTGTCAGGTTGTCTAGGGCTGATGAAAGAGTGGTTTCTATCTTGTCTATGTGGATTTTCTGGGCTGCTATGCCAAGGTCATCAGCATAGATGAAGCTTCTTGTTCCTGGGTACACTGGCTGGTCATTGGTGTAAACATTAAATAGGACAGGAGCAAGTACGCTGCCCTGAGGTAGACCATTCTTTTGTTTCCTCCATCTGCTGTGCTTCCCGTTGAGCTCTACATAAGAGCATTTGGATAAGCTTAGTCAGATGGGAGTCCTTTGTCATGGTATAGAGCTTGTCGAGAAGTATACGGTGGTTAACAGTGTCGTAGGCAGCTGTCGGGTCGACGAACACAACTCCAGTCGGTTCATTCTTCTCGAAACCATCCTCGATGTGCTGGGTATTTAGCACTTGGCCAGTGCACCATCTTCCAGGCCGGAAACCTGCTTGCTCTGGTATCAGGTGTTGTTCTGTGACTGGCCCCAGTCGTCTCAACTGATTTAATTTGGTCTTTGTTATCTTGAGGTCAGACTGAGGCCGACTTGAAGCACAAATGCATGTACATATATATGTGTCCCTCATTCGCTTCGTGTTACTCACTTCTTCTAGTCTTCTATTTAAATGATATTATATTTTCTCTCATTTTCTTCCATTGCAGGCGATGAGCTTTTCACCGACATCTACCCCATGAAGCTTGTTGGTCCAAATCAAAACTTTATTCAACTTAAAGGAAAGGTTGGTACACGTTCATATAAGTAATGAAATATACCATGCACTAAGAGGCCCTGGTTAAAATCATAGATTCTCTAAGGTGACTGGCAAAGTACTATGCCAGTCATTGAAGATGATCATTTTACAAGTGCCTCAAAAAAGTGCATGGTCGACGAGCTTGTAGCTCAAACTGTATTTTAATTGGAAGGCCATGTGTCGACAAAGATTACATAATACATGATTACATGATGACGTAACATGATATTAAAGTTGCTCAAGCGTGGGTATATAAAGGGCAGCACACGGACATACACACAGGAGCGTAATACCCATTGGTAGTGATTGGGAGTGATCCCCAAGGTGCCTACTTCACGAACGACCATATACCCATGCATGAGCATCTTTAAAGGGAAATCCGAGTAAACAAAATATTTTAATTTTACACCTTTAACCACATTATGAATTCCCATTTTATTTTTTTCCCGGTTAATTCTAACCCAAGATTTTGACATAGTAATCCACAAAACAATTAATACACAGTTTGAAATAGTCCATTGGTAACAATTTTTTTCCCCCAATATATATCATTTTTTGAAACCAGTTAATACCATTAACCCTTACTGTACTGGGGGGGGGCCTGGGAGGCCCCCCCCTCGACATTTTTGGAGATCGCGCCGCAACCGCTCGGAATTTTGAATTGTCGTTTCATGACTTTTTTCCTTCAAGTCTTACGCACATTTTGATACCATTTTCGTCGAAATCGGATATACCTGTAAGGTGTTACATAACAATTAGTATGCGCATGTCATCAAAAAAGTGCTATAATTGCATATATTCATGTACAAGCAGAAATGTGAAGATATGAATTGATATCAAATTACTTTTATATGTTTCTCAAAGTAACTTCATGTATTTCAGAACAAAAGAATACATTAGAAATAAAACAATAGATATAATAACAAATAAAAAACAATGAAATACATAAGAAAATAAAAAGTTGAAAATCGCATCAAATTTGCATAAATTATCATTATTAATTACATCAAATAACTATTTTTTGTGTTAGAAAAGAAGTTTCATATGAATAATGAGTTTCAACATAACAAAAGTGGAGTCTGACAATTTTTGTAATGATTCTAGTTCCCTGTATATTACCAGATTAGATATTCATGAATGCGTAATTTGCGTATTCATAATTTATGCAAATTAACCTATGCATTTTCAAATATCATAAAAATAATGAAACCTCATGAATTTGAGATGAAGGAAACATTTATTCAATACATTTTCAAGATTCTTCACAAGTCTACGGACAAATATGTAGAGTTTTCTGTAAAATGCATAAAATTAGCATTTTGCATAATTAATTAGGCTATAACGACAAAAATTTGCATATTAGGAAAAAACTAATTATACCATCTTGTTCCTTACGTAAATATCTACAATCATGCAAATTTTCGCGTTCATCGGACATTCGACGGCCGAGATCATAGGGGGGGGGCCTCCGAGGCCCCCCCCCCCCCCCCCCCCAGTCAGAGAGTGCTCAAAATAGCCCAGTACAGTAAGGGTTAAAGAAAACGCCTATAGTTTCAGGGGAACTGCACCTACCCCTCCCCCATTAGGGGCACTGTCCCTAGATCCCGCCAGGGGGCCTACACAGACCCTTGCCTGCAATTTTTGGTTGCTGGCTATTCCAATTAATTTTCCCGCTGTAAGTTGATTCTGGTAAGAGCCCTGATTATTATTAATTTCATTATTACGGTATAAAGATATCAACTGCTACGAGAGGACTGGCCGTTTTTATATGCTCAAGGGAAATTTGCATCCGCTGCTATCACCCCGAGGTGCGGCTGGGTGGGCGGCGCGCTGAGGGGCGATAGCAGCAGATGCAAATTTCCCCCGAGAGCCAGTATAGAAACAGCCAGTCCTCGAGTATTAAAGCAGTCGATATCCCTTTTATATGCCGAATTCAAACAAAAATCCAAGAATTCTTACCTTATCCTTTTATCGAGTAAAGATTGGTTAAAACATGACAGAAAATCTGAGAAACTGTCTGTTTATCAAAAATGACTGAAATTTTCAATCAGTTGGGAATCGCAGACAAAAAGCACTGTATGGTGTCCGCGCTCGCTCACAGAACATTTTAACACGCAAACCAATGGGTATCGCAGCAAGATTTTATTATTTTCCCGGTAACTGGAATTTTGAGGGATTTCACTCTTGGACTATTAAATGGTTTTGTCATTTTTTTGTTTCTTTACGGGAATGGCTTAAATCACGACCGCAATTTCGACCAATCAGATGGCTGGATTTCTTAAGTGAAGTATATAATTATTGTTATTATTTATTATTTTTGTTCTTATCAGTAGAAGTAGTAGTAATACGCTAATTCATATATATTTATTGTATGGATGCAGAGAGTGACCGAAAATTCTTCAGCTGGGGATATAAACATCGGAGGCAATCCGTCTGCTGAGGAAGCAGCTGAAACCACCGAAGAGACTAGTGTAAGTGGCGTAGACATCGTCCTTGCAAATCGTCTTACAGAAGTCACGGAGTACACTAAAGAAGCATACCAGCAGGACAAGATCAAGCCTTATATCAAGAAGTAAGTATCAATCAAATATTCAATTGCCTAAAAATTAGAAGCTAATGATCTCAGGAGGACTACATGCATGTACATGTATTTCATCAAAAGCAAATATATAAGAATGAAATTAAAGGACAGTACATAACTGCTTACTGAAAAATCAAACCTTACCAACAGACTTCTCTAAAAAGAAAGCACAAACATCAGCAAAATGAAGGTGTAAATTAAATCTGACAAATAATAAGAGTTATTAATTTTTGAAAGTCGTAATCACTATACATATGAGAACTTTAAATTGGCTAAATAGGTAATGTCACTGTGACGTAGTGTCGGACCACTTTACCATTTGTTCTAAGAAACAACATGCCTAAAATAACAATGTTTCAAAATGTGCAGTGCCCCAAGGAAGAATGAATATAAGGGGGGGGGGATAATAATGTTTTTGTTAAGGAACTTTCTGCACACCACAAACAGGAGAGTTGTCCGTATGTACTTAACTATCCAATGACACCCAGTGATTTCAAATTTCAAACACTCATAACTCTTATTATTGGTCTGATTTATTTCAAACAAATTAGATCTTTACAAGGGTTGGCTTTCCCTTTTAACGATTTCCTTAAGAAACCACTGATCTTCTTTTTTTTTAAGCCTCCATCACCAAAGGTGGTGCCTGAGATTGAAATCTGTTCTAATGGTTCTGGAGTCATTGCAATTCCATTAATTCCATTTGAAAAGTATAGCACATGAAAGATAATTGTAAAAAATGAGTGGCAACAAAAGGGAGGAGACCTAAACATAATGGAATGAATGTCAATTTTAATTAATGTCAAACGTTATTATATCAATTAAAAGTCTTTCATTCTCATTATCATGATAATTTCAAGAACAGCTTGAGTCATGATCTTATCTGAATTTAGGTGGAGGTACATATCAAAGATGCAGTTGTCTTTGTCTTGTTTAGTTCTGCAGACCTTCTGTTTTTTAGGGCTAAGTCACTGATGGCTCTTGTGGGTTTTATTTCTTCTTCTCACTGTTCAGATTGATGAAAGCAAAGGATGATCAAATTAAGGAACTAGAAGCAGAAGGCAAGAAAAATGAAAAACTAGTGGAGGAGTTGAAGTTACAGTACACAGCCTTCAAGAACACTTTTAAGGAGGACCTGAAGAGCGTCATACTGACCGGTTTCAAGAAGAAGGAATTCCAATTCTTTCTAGGTGAGAGTTTAAGTGACGAAGCCATGCTTATTCTCATGACATACCCCGAGGACGATCCCGAAGGCAGACCTTTAATGTACTTTGTCAAATATGGACTGAAGGAAGTCAAAGTGGTAAGTACAGTGTGCTGTTCAAGTCTTTTTTTTAACGTAACCTAGCCATCCTAGCGCTGCATATTAATATTTGAATATATGAATATTTGCGTTGGTACGGTGTGGTGGAGATCAAAATTAAATCGGCCAGATTCTGGCCTTACCAGTTTGTCGCAATTAATGGACAAGTTACGACCTGGGTAGTGTTCATTTCCGGTAAGCCTCTCGATTTTGTCGCAAGTTCGTAATGTCATTTAAGTAAACTTAGCTTTGATAGGATGGCTAGATTACTTCTTTTTTTTAAAGTGCTGTTTAGAGTTCTCGTCAGTGCATCACAAATTTGCTGCGGTTTCCAAGAATTGGGGACCAAATCTTGCTGGCAAGGGTGATAAATCAGTCCATGTGTCCACTTCAGCCTGAAAATTGCTCTGGTCTTCTTAAAAAAAAAATACCTGGGATGCTACTCAGCCATAACTATGTCAATTTAAAGCAAGGATTTGTGCCTCCGGCACGAACATCAGTGGTGGTGGCATTATATTTTGGGTTATCTGTACATCTGTCTTTTTGTCCATCCATCCTGATTCTCATTACCCTAATAAATCAATTGATAAAACTTGAAAGGCATTACAACAATTCAAATGAAAGATGAATGAATATGGAAGGATGAACTGATAGGATTTGGAGTTTTAAGGGCTTAAAGGTCACAGAGTCATAAAAGTATTTGAAAATACCAGACATCATCTTGTTACCATGATAACTTCAAACTTAACATGGATAAAGTAGAGGTATCTTTATAGTCGAGTAGCCTAATCACTTGACTCAGAGTGCGATATTTTAGATCAAAAGATTTGTTTTCTCTAGCTATGAGTGAAATTTGAAGCCCTCATCTTGTACACAACAAATGAGGGGAATTTAACATTACCAGTTGAAAAACTCCAATTTTAAGAGTAACCATGTCGAGCTAAAATAAATATTGAACTTTCATGCTACCTTTCTTTCTCTCTTTTTCTTGACCAACTGTAAATTACTTCAGGTATTAAAGCGAAGTACAACATTCTTCCACGGTAGAATTAATTTCTTTGTCATGTTTTTTGTCTTTGTCTTTTTCCTTTTCTCAAACAGTAATAACAGCTCATCCCTAGAATGTTATCCTGTAGATATATCCACTCACCAAGTTAATCACTTTCTTTCGCTGTCACTGCAAGGGAAAGAAGCCGGACATCCAAATGCCATCCTCAACATGTATCTCAAAGGAAAATCTGGTATCAGAGACATTGCACTAAAGAGACAATCCTCCAAAAGAATTAAGGGAAATTTTTTGAGATGAACTAACTTGAGCTTGGGGAGGAGAGGGGGAGAAGCTATTACAAACTTAGATGTGGCAATTTGACTCATAACCTGAGTCGACTGCCACATTTTTAGAGTTTATTGTCAATATACACTTTACGTGTGAAAATAGTCAACCGTGGCAGTTGATCGTCTGTTGCATTAGTTGACGGAAGCAGGTAAAGGTTTCATGTTGAATCCATCACGTGTTTGCATAAATCTTTTGCAGGCTATTTCGCATAACATTTAGAGGTTGTTTGGTATTAAAGCAATAGACGAGTTCAAAGACTAGGTACTGCATTCATCCTGATGAAGATGCAACATTACTCCAGCTGCCGTGAATGCTGCCCTCTTATGTCAACTACCTGTCAGATATATAATGGAAATTGCTATGGCTCAAACATGTCTTCTGCATTTTGTATAATGATTTCAAATTGACCGATCTCACAACAACTGAAATCACTTCCAAGTGTATGTTTTTCTTCTTATAGAAGCAACAAGGCACAAAATTAAAAGCATTTTTTTTTAAATGAAAATAACATTTATGATAACAGAACTGGTTCAGTTGTATTTATTGCTGAATGTTGAACTTTATTGGATATTAAATCTCATTGTTTTAGAAGATTACTTGGGAATAAACATGTAAACACAGCCATGTAATATATATATATATATATATATCTTTAGTCCAAGTAAGCCAGATCTAATTGTTGCTAATTTTTTCCAATTAATTCAAATAATTCAACCGTTTTGGCTTCATATAATGTCTTTAATTACAGGTAATATACATATGGTTATAGACCTAAGCATTTATCATGATTGTATATTGCCATATATCATGCTTGAGCTTTGCAACAGATATCATATTCAAACTTATCAATATCATTTGTGCAATTGTTGATAATGAATCTCAAATATAAAATCATTAATATAGTAAGAAAATGACAAAGACAATCCTGAATGTTTACAGAGAATTGAGAAAAAAATATATAATTGCTTTTCCCCGCCATCTCTGAGAACAATAGGCTTTTATGATATTCCATTCAGAGATATTCCAGGGTTCCATTACATACAAATCTACATGTATGTGTGAACACTATATTTAATACAAAATTAAAAACAGATCAAAACCAGGACGACTTCTGTGATACAGTTTCATGTTCAGTGTGGTGAATTACTGTAAACAAGTGATGTTTTTGTTTAGTGATTGTTTGCTTGAAGCTGGAAGGATGTTGACTTTATGTTAAAATTACATTATGATTAAAGATAAAGGTGAGTTCTGGTCATCCGATTGCATTGTGAAAGAAAAAGTGTGGAATGGATCAGAAAAAAGTTGATCATGCAGCACTGCAAAGTTCTGGAGTCATCAAAATCATAATAATTTGACCCAGTCTTGGTAAAGTAACAAGCACTGTACACAGAAAGATGTATATGGGACTACACAATTGGTGTCGGGGGCTACCAACCTTGATTTCCTAATCTTTCTAAGCTCATTACTTGTCCAGTATACATTTTCTACCAAAATTGTTTGGCAAATGACATTTATTTGTAATCTTGAACATTCAGTCTAAGTTTCTGTGAGAATTTTTTTTTTTTTTTTTTTTTTTTTTTACACCAGAACTTGCCTTTATCTTTAAACACCCTTCTGTCTCCAGCCTCTAAATGAAGTACATGTAAGTGACTGAGAAAGAAGAAGAAAGCTCACAATTATTTTCACCTTTTACCAGAACTCAACTTTCTTTTTTGAAAATGAGATTTTTGAATTTGAAAGTGTATGATGAAATTTTGATGAGAGGAAAGCTTCTATAACCGTACAAGTGAGGACAAAAGGATGATAAAGCACATGAGGGAGAGAGAGAGAGGGTGTGGGGGGGGGGGAGGGATAAATTGAAAGATAGAGATGGTAAAAAGAGAAATTGAAAGAAGATGAAACTACCTGTAGATCCAAGATCAGGGGGGGGGGGGGTGAAGGCAGAAGAAAAATCTTAAATACTTGCGTACAGTTTTGGAAGTAAAAAGGAATTGGTTTGCGTTCCATGCCAGTTACATAAATTATGATTTTGCCTCTCGTTAAAAAATATTGTACATCTGCATGTATCCCACTCGAGAAAAATCTCACTACAGGACATATAACCGGTAGCATTGATAACTGGAAATTTTCTGAAGCCTAAGCAAAACTATACATGAACTTATAAGTAAATGTAGAACTAAAGTGATGCCAGTGAGAAATATTGCAGTGTTTCTCTATCCCTGTCTCATCTCTTCCACTCCTTAATTATTTTTATCTATCTTTCTAATATTCCTCTTCTCTCTCTCTCTCTCTCTCTCTCTCTCTCTCTCTCTCTCAAGTTGTCTCTTCTCTCTTTTATCTATCTTTCTAATATTCTTCTCTCTCTTTCTCTTCTCTCTTTTATCTATCTTTCTAATATTCCTCTTCTCTCTCTTTCTCTCAAGTTGTCTCTTCTCTCTTTTATCTATCTTTCTAATATTCCTCTTCTCTCTCTCTCTTTCTCAAGTTGTCTCTTCTCTCTCTTTATCTATCTTTCTAATATTCCTCTTCTCTCTCTCTCTCTCTCTCTCTCTCAAGTTGTCTCTTCTCTCTTTTTATCTATCTTTCTAATATTCCTCTTCTCTCTCTCTCAAGTTGTCTCTTCTCTCTTTTATCTATCTTTCTAATATTCCTCTTCTCTCTCTTTCTCAAGTTGTCTCTTCTCTCTTTTATCTATCTTTCTAATATTCCTCTTCTCTCTCTCTCTCTATCTCTCAAGTTGTCTCTTCTCTCTTTTATCTATCTTTCTAATATTCCTCTTCTCTCTCTCTCTCTATCTCTCAAGTTGTCTCTTCTCTCTTTTATCTATCTTTCTAATATTCCTCTTCTCTCTCTCTCTCTCTCAAGTTGTCTCTTCTCTCTTTTATCTATCTTTCTAATATTCCTCTTCTCTCTCTCTCTCTCTCTCTCTCTCACGCCGTCTCCTCTTATCCTACTTAATCCTAAAACTGTCCGTCTATATCCTCTCTTCTCCTTTTATATCGCTCTCTTGTTATTTTTCCTTTTCCTTATAAAAATGAATTGTTTAGTCACGACTGTTTAAGGAGGCTCGTCGCTAAACTGGGTCTAGTGTTCATACCCAGTCCCCCCCCCCCCCCCCTCCCATGAAACCTAAACGGGGCAAATCATTTTGATTCGGGATCCTTTGTGAAACCATGGGTTTTATGAAACATTTTTACATGCAAAATGAAAAAAAGCAAAGGGGCACATACTTAACATGCATGTCATGTTTCAATATATTTAAAACCTATTCATGCATATAACCTACACACACAATTCATGAAATGCAAACCAGCATCGTTCGCCAATTCAATTGTTACCCCCCCCCCCCCCCCCCCCCCTCTTGTCAGGTTTTTAAAAGCCAAAACGACACATAATCCCATTCCCCCACCCCTCCCTCCACCCCCCCCCCCCCCCCCCCCTCCCACCTGATAATCATGGATCTGCAACTGATAGAAATACCGGTATTCACATTCTGGGACGATCGAAGGGACAGCTAAACTATTTCCAGATTATTGTCCAAAGCTTTCAGAGTACGGATTACTATCAATTTTTATAAGCAGACCAGAACAATAGGAATATTTCATGGTTTGCACAAAGTAATGCAATATCTCATTTCTTTTATTTACAATCAACATATAAAAAGAATTCACAGTTAATTATGCAAAGACAATGGACATAATTACCCATTCTTTATCAAACTTTGTTGCTCTGATAAATGTGAAATTTAGTACAAAAACATAATGGTATAAATGGAAAATTGAAGAAAAAAAAGACCACTTGGTTTCACCTAATTTTAATTTTGATGAAAACTGAATGGCTTTACTTTTGTGTGACTTGGGAAAATATATCGCACTCTCCTCTCTAAAATATTTCACTCGTTGAGCAATCTTGAGAAAATGCTCATTAGCTTGTGCAATATCCTCTGACATCTTGCTCATCATGGCCATGCAATTTTATATAGATTTACACTATATGGAACGTTTAAAACCTCTACTTGGCTTCTTTTTCCAAATCAAAATCTTTCCATCTTCGTTACGGTTGGTCATCTTTGCCTTTTCTTCTTCTGTGTCTTCTCGCTGATTTTCCTTTCTCTTTCACAGCATTACAAATTCAGACATCTCCACTCGAAATTCATCTTCAACCCTCCTATCGGATCAGTCTTGCTCAATAAAATAAAATGTTGACAAGAATAATGACTCTATTTTTGGTTAAGCACATGTATCATGTCAACAAACGACCTGAAAATAATAAAAATATTCTAGGTTCATATAGCATCAATATAGTCTCTATCAAAGGGCTTTACATATAGAAGTACATATCATTAGCCTCGCCATCGAATTTAGGCTTATCCACACACAATGTATACACATTCTCCACTCCCTGGGGAGCATAAGAGCCAGGCACCAGCTTACAGATGCTCACAATGCAGAGTTAACTACAACAACTTTCGTATCCTACCAGGTACCCATTTAACACCTGGGTGGAGAGTGGCAGATATGGATTAATGTCTTGCCTTAGGACGTTGGTGCTAGGCTGGGATTCGAACCCTCAACCTTAGATTGAGAGTCAAGTGAATGAACCACTATACCAATTGCATTTCAAGATTAATCCTGACAGGTATCTATTACATTCCTGGGTCAAAAGAAACTGTAAAATGTAGTATATAAGGACAATCACATTGGGCAGATATTTGAACCCTCAATCTCTCAAATGAGGACCAACCAAAGGAACCACTATACCACAGAGGTCCAGCAAGAAAGTCTGTTTCATTTCACATTTATCATAATCATCTGTACCTGTCCCTGTCTCTATCCCTCCTATCTCTTTCTCTTTCCCCATCCCTATCTCTGCTGTCTCGTTGCCTTTCTCTATCTCTATCCCTCCTATCTCTTTTGTCTTCTCTCTCTCCGCTTCTATCATTCCTCCGTTCCTCTCTATCTCTCCTTCTTTCACTTTCCCTCTCTCCATCCAAATCCCTCCTTTCTCTTTCCCTTTCTCTTTTATCCATCCTTGGTTTTTCCTCTCGTTCCCTATCCAAACGACCATTCCGATCCTTCTGTTCGCCTTCTCTTCTCTTAACTTTGGTTTCATCATCCTCGTATCTTGTAGAATGGTATGAACTCCTAGCTTCGTTATCGTCGTATCTCCTCATGCTCTCCCCTCTTCCTTTATGTTCAGAACCATCCACTATCCTCCTATCATCTCCCCGCTTTGTCTTTTCTTTCTTTTTTCTATAGTCCTCATCTTTTTCCTTCTTGATTTTCACATCAGAGGTTGACTCGCTGTCGTCGCTATCGGGTGCCCTCTTCTTTTTTTTCTCCTTCTTTTCTTTCTTTGATTTCTTCTTCTTTGCTGGTCTCTCATTTCCTAAAATAAAATGAAATTGAATATGAAAACAGTGTCAAACAATTAAACATTTGAACAATACATCCAAATGTGAAAAAGATATTTCAGAGTATTGAAGTAATGTTAAACATTTTGACTTGGTCAAGAAAGTAAATGAATTATTAAATTGCTTATCAATCTGGCTTACAGTGAGCGTTAAAAAGAAATCCCTGAAAGTTTGAAGAAAAATTAAACACATTTAGGAAAGAAAAACTATTATTAATACAATCAAAGAGCAACCTTTATTTGAGATGTACGCATAGAATTACAGACAACGTAGAAAGCCCTACTAGAGCTAGATTCAGACAACACATATTTTTATGTCAATTTAAGTTCACAATTCCATAATATAATTAGATTATACTTCAAAACATATGGGACGTACCTTGGCCTTGCTTTCCACATTAAGCCAAAACAGAACTTATTCACTACCATACCTTTCATTGGTAGAACTAATTCCTCTTCATCAGATGTTGGAGGTGTCTTTGGAGCGCATCCCTCTTCTCTCAGCTTCTTAGTTGCATCATCCAACTCCTCGTCATCCTTGGGCTTGCGATACTCTGACACATGATCTACCCTCAATGTCCTTCCCTTCAGCTGCATCAGAAAGATAATTATATTATCAAAAACTTTCAAGATTAGTACGGGACAGGCATTTTCAAGGCAATAAAATCTTTATGAACTGCAAAAATTCAGTGTTGTGCCATTTTTTAATTTCAGATTCAATCATTTTACAGCATGAAACTTTTATGAAAGAGAACCACTCGCGAAATTGAATTTAATGCCCTTTGTTTTGGCTACAGTAGAAAGAAACAATATTGTTAAATCCAAAGCTTTTTTGACACAAAACTTTCGCGAATAATAAAGGACAAGCTTTTAAAGACAAGAAAAACTTTTGCGAACTGCACAAATGCAGTGTATTGCGATTTTTTACCCAAATATTTTACAGCATGAAACTTCTATGAAACGGAACCACTAGCTTAATCAAGCACAATTTTTTTGAACGATACCAATGTGTCAACTAAAGTCCCTTTCATGAACCCTCTTGTAAACATTAACAATGGATAATAGCTAGGAGCTCTGTAATTATCTTTAACAGGACCACATCAACGCCAATTATAGAAGTGCTACTATACCTTGCATAATAGACACTTTAGACCCTCATTCTGATACGACACATGAAACTGCGCTTACGCTCTTCTGGCAATTAATACGTACCTTAATACCATTGAAATTATCCACTGCTAGAATGGTGCTCCGTTGATCCTCATAGGCAATGAAGCAATATCCCTTGGACTTCCCTGTTTTTTTTATCCCGCACCAGGTTGATGTTCACAATCTCTCCATACCTACAACATGGAGAAACAATTCTATTATTCTAAGTTTTGACTTTTGAGTATGAATTTTGACAGACATTAAAGAGAAGATTGAGTTCTGGGAAAAGGTGACAAATAATTTGTGAGCGTTATCATTGTTATTGGTATGCAGGGTGGAAGAACATCAGATGAAACATGTTCCCTGAAAAGCATGGCTCTTCAAATGCCTTCATAATTCTAAATATGGCATGTAACATCATAAAAATCAGGACGGATTTTTTACGCCACGTGTTCGTGTAGTCCCATATACATCCTTCTGTGCAGTGCGTGTAAATTTCCCAAGACTTGGCCAAATTTCTTATCAATTTGATGATTCCAGAACCTTGCAATACACACAAATACTCGTACGCTAGATGATCGACCTTTTCTGATCGATTCCACACCGTTCCTTTCACAATGCAATCGCATGAACAGAAGTCAACTTTATCTTTAAATCATAAAACTGTGGGTATGATAACAGACTCTTCAACCTTTGGTGACCCAATGTTTGCCCCAGCTACAAGTGTTCCTCCATGCTTTCTTTCATCAAAGATACTGGTATGGTCCGGGCTTTGGTTGGGTTGTGATCAGGGGAGAGTTTCACAAAGATCCTAAATTGAACTTATCTCTCAGTTGGACTAACAATTATGGAAAACCGTTAGCATCATTGAAAATATTTTGTAAAAGTTATTTTAAAAGGCATAAAATGTTGATTCAAATCATTCATTTTGTCTATTATCAAGGAGATTTTATGTTGTTGATGTGGAATTTCTGAAAAGTCTAAATATTTGAATTTTTACTTTTGAATATATTTTATTTTGAGGCTACAAATGTCTCTCCATAATATTCAAGTCCAACTTAGAGTTAAGTTTGACTTGGGATCTTTGTGAAACACCCTCCAGATTGGGTATTTTGTTCAGGTATAATTTCATCCCTACAAACTAAGAAGGCCTCATTCACACACGATGTGGTAAAATGGCCTGAAATTTTACTCGGTCAACGTGATATAGATCCAATTGAAAGAATTGTACAGAATACAGATACTTTATATATCATCCTACAATGTCAAAAGCAAAGAATTTCCAAGAATTTTCCTGCTGATTAATCTGATGACTTTCTTCACCTCTTGAACTAAGAGGTCAGCGGCCCACAAAAACTTACACAGCTTCATACATGGATGGTTTTTTGTTTGGTCCAGGACTCCAGGTATAGTCTACCCTCTCCAGGCTCTCCTCCTCCGTCCCCCCCCCCCCCCCCAATCTGAAAGGGATAGCTCCTCCCCTCATACAGATAGTTCTATGATTGTCCAGGACTCCAGTGTATTTTACCTCCCTCTGGAAGGGTACCCCCCCCCCCCCTCCCCCCTCACTTAATCAGTGTATGGATACACCACTGATACAATACTCACTGTGAAAATACACACAGGACATCTCCCTCCGTCAACTCGAAGGGCATTCCTCCAATAAAGATATACGCACTGTCCTTGTACTGCTGATGCCACGAAGCAGTACTGGATACACCATACTGGGCTTCTAGCTCATTCAGCTTGTTGATATTCTTCACATTGGTGAGAGGACTGCAATGAAATCAGTTTTCAACTTAATTGATGAGGATGATGATAATGATATTTAATAATCAAGATTGAATAGTGATAGCCTTCTCATGAAATAAGTAGTCCAATCTCATTCAGTGATTATATAGCATTGCAGAACTGCTACTGATTTTGTTCCATCTGGTCCCGTTTTGCTAGCATTTGCGAATCGTCTTGTTACTATGTTAGTGTTACAGCTTACTAGATGACTGTTTAATACAAAATTGACGACCTAAAAACTTGGTTCCTAAATGCGCGGAATGGGCACATGCACATTCGTTGATCCGGTCCTCAGCATCATTTTCCTAAATTGGCGCCTACAAGGGGCCTTCTGATTGACAATCGCTGGCTGCCATTCGCTCAATGTTATAAGATATTTGTTTGACTAAAATATGATTTTCGTATCAGATCAAACAGAAAGCTAGCAAAATCATATTTTAGTCAAACCTTACATTTGTTACTCTTTTTTCAGCATCCTTAAAAGGTTAAGTATTTCACTTAAGTTAAGTCTTACGTAATTTTTTTTTTTAGTTTGAAAAATTCTCATTTTCGTCATATTTAAAGAAAAGGTGAGTTCTGGTAAAAAAAAAAGAAATTCTCACAGAATCAAACAAAACTTACACTGAATGTTCAAGATTACAAGTAGATGTCATTTGCCAAACAATTTTGGTAGAAAAAGTATAACGGCTTTAAAAATAAAGTGCTCAATGCGGAAAGTTCTACTTGGTACAGTATGGATCAAGCATTTTTACGACCAAATTTGAGTTTACACTATATTGAAGAATCCGGGCTATCTCGCCCCACGGGACATCTCGCCCCAGCCTCAAAGACTGGGGCGAGATGTCCCGACATGCTTCACCGATCGATATATGTTTGTGCTCATTGTGACTTAATAATGCCATTTCCAACCACAATAGTAATGGAATTGTATTAAAGGATACTATTGAAGACAATCTATAACTTCTCTTTAGGTAAAATGACAAAAAAATGGCATTTCGGACAATTTACTCACAGCTCGCAATTCACATTGCCGCACATACATTACATGTGCGTTGTATCGACTCTGACCACTGAAATACGAGCAGTTTTTTGTCAGTAAATCACTGCAAAATATCATTTTCATAATGTAGAAGGTCTATTTTTGATTCCTGGTATAAATTTTGTTATTGAGAAGTCGAATGTACTACATTAGACGAGATAGCTGATGTTTGTACACATTCTTTCGGCCTGGCCGTAAATTAGCAGACTACTGCTAGTGCTATCGTCGGGACATCTCGCCCCAGTCTTTGAGGCTGGGCGAGTTAGCCCGACTCTGATTCAGCGCACTTCGAAAAGAAATGCACCGAAGGCGAAGCGGCTCGTTGCCAAGATTGACAATTGAATTCAAATTCAAATTTTCAAAGCATCTTTCAAAACATTGGTGAGCTAAATTGATTGCATTTTACTGCTATGAAGGTGCCATCAATTGTCCAAAAATACTGATTTTTTAGTGAATTCTCGTGAGTTTCTAACTACACTGTAGACCTAGAGTAAGGAGGGGTAATCGACCAGCTCCAGTTTTCGGCCGATTGGTTGGATGCATGGTAAAATCCCATTAAAATACATCGCATAATAGCATAACACATATCCCACACAGGCCTCGAATTACATCAAATTTGGGTCAAGGCCACTTTTTTGAGAGGGCACAAATCCACTGAAAGGGGCACAAATCTATCCTAAGGGGCACTAAGGCAACGTGGAAAGTGCGCGTAAAATCACCTCACGCTGTTGTTTTCAAGGTGGGGGGGGGGATATGTGCACCCAGGGGCGGATCCAGGATTTCTTCCTTAGGGGGGGGGGGGGGGGGGGCCCACTTTTTTTTTTGTCCCAAAAAAAAATCGCAACGACTCAGCCAGCCACTGAATAAGCTGGGGGGGGGGGGGGGGGGGGGGGGGGGGGGGGGGGGGGGGGG